TGATTTAGTTATATCGATATGTCTATCTTTGACTATATCCGAGTTGGGGATACATCCTCCTCTAGCTTCTGTGAGCCGAGGAGGCTGCAGCTCCCTGCAGGGAGTGGCACACAGAAACCCACAAACTCCAGTTTTTCCATGACTGTGCCCAATGGTTTTTACAGGATTTCCAGGCAGCTACAGCCAAAGCAAACACATAATGCGTCAGATCAATGCTTAGTCCTTTAATTCTACTGAAAGGAAAGAGAGCATTTGGGTTTCTAGCTGTGCTAAAAAGATGTTGGGGGAAGACACAAGGTTGGGAAGAGTCGTAACCTCTTTGAAAGTCCACGTCATCGAAACATCGAGCCAGGCAGCCTGTGCCAGAGACTGTTGTCATACCTCCTGCCACCCAAGGGAGATGGAAGAAAGAGCAAGGGAAGGGAAGGGCTGAACTCCCCTTCTTCTTTATCCTGTCTTCAGCACTTCAGCCCTGGGTGCTTTCAGGCTGGGTAAGGCTGGAAGGACAGCACAGAGCATCCTGTAACTGAGCAGTGGCAGCTTGGATTTCAGTTTCCTGCTGAAGACATGTGTGCAAAGGATGATGTGCTCTGATGCCACTGGGAAATTACAGCATGGCCTTGGCACAACCACACAGCAGATTTATCCTCTAAAGCCCAGGCTAAAGAACTGAGGGGGATTGTTGTCTGACCAGCAGCAGTTTATGATGCAGAAGACAGCACTCCTGGGGCTGTGGTTGGAGCAGGTTCTCACCCAGTGTTGTCAATACACTGTGGTGCTCGAAGGATGTGCAGCTCCATGCAGGAAAAGCCATTGCTTCAGTTTGCTTCAGTCCCTCTGAAGATGTTGGTACAAAACCAGAACCTATCCCACCTCCCATCTAAAATGATTGTGAAGTTAAATTTTATCACTGATAATATGGAAAGAAAATCCTTTATGGTAGTTTAGACAATCTTCTTGGCTTGCTTGGGATGATGCTGTTTATACTGTGGTAGAGCAGACTCCAAGAGCCACAGGTCCAGGCTCCTGATGTTTTTTTTGCACCCAATGCACTGAGGTCACTCAAAGACAGCACGGATGGGGGAACCCGACACAGAAAGCATTCAGGTAGAACAATACCTGTGCCAAAAAGGGGATTCTCCCCAGTAAAACTGGCTGAACACAAGCACACTTTTACTTAAGCAAGAAAACCCCCAAAGGCAATGTTTTGGTCTGTTTTGGTTTTAATTATTGGGAACTTTTTCATTTCTTCAGTAAAACAATTCAAGGGAACAGCTTCATTGAAGGTTTCATCACCAGCAACTGAAACAACAGCATTTTTCACAGATAAACATGAGATTTTAAAGGACCCTACCATCTGTACAGAGCATTTTCTTCCATCAAAAGATGAGATTTTGTCAAAACCTCCCTTTAGTGAAATCAAGTTGCACAGAGCCTTTGAGCGGGGATGGATTTGAGCTGAATTCCAGTTTGCTTTGAGGAATGTGCCCTCCTGTGGGTATGTGTTACAGCTGCAGCAAACGTGCCTTCCAACAGGCTCAGTTCCTTCTCTTTCCATACCACCAGATTCTTTCAGGAAGGTTCCTTCCCCAAGAAGGGGATTCTTTCAGGATTCTTTTAGGAAGGTTCCTTCCCCAAGACCCAGCCCGATATTGCACTGAGAGGGATGAGGTCTGGCTTATGCAGACGAGGAAACAAGGGAAAAATAATTCCAGTGATCAGCCTGACAGAAGAGGTGACAGACAGGTCCCTGTGATCACTCCCCAAGTTCCCAGGACTGAACTGGTGAACTTTCAAGGTTTGTAGGGCTTAATCAAAACTTGTGTGCTGGGTATTTCAGGGTATTGCAGGGTATCATCCAACTGATAGAGTCATGGAATGGTTTGGGTTGGAAGGGAACTTAAGGCTCACCCAGTTCCAACCCCCTACCACAGGCAGGGACCCCTTCCACTGGAGCAGCTTGCTCCAAGCCCCTGTGTCCAACCTGGCCTTGGACACTGCCAGGGATGGGGCAGCCACAGCTTCTCTGGGCACCCTGTGCCAGCGCCTCAGCACCCTCACAGGGAAGAGCTTCTGCCTAAGAGCTCATCTCAGTCTACCCTCTGGCAGGTTCAAGCCATTCCCCTTGGCCTGTCCCTACAGGCCCTTGTCCCAAGCCCCTCTCCAGCTTTCCTGCAGCCCCTTCAGGCACTGGAGCTGCTCTCAGGTCTCCCCTTCAGGAGCCTTCTCTTCTCCAGGCTGCCCCATCCCAGCTCTCTCAGCCTGGCTCCAGAGTAGAGCTGCTCCAGCCCTCGCAGCATCTCCATGGCCTTCTCTGGCCTCACTCCAACAGCTCCACGTCCCTCTTGTGCTGTTGTCCCAGAGCTGGACATGGGTTTTTTTTTGCAGAGGTACAGATGCTGTGCAGTGGAGAATGTGCTCTAAAACCTGAAGTGATAACAGACCTGCAGCAACACATTGCAGGCAATCAGCTAAACTGGGCAGGACTGCAGGCACTTCTGGAGGATTTCTTTAAGCTCTCAGTAAATTTGAGTAATGACTCAAAATGAACGTGTTGCAATTCAGTATGGGCAAATGCAATAATGGTGCTGAAGCAGGCATAGGTGACCACAGTATTGCAGGATCGAAAATAACTGTTTACATAGCACTTGTGTGGGAAAGGCCTGGATTTTCCTTACAGTAAAAACAGAGGGTTGTTCAATTTAAAAGGGAAGAAATAAGAACTGCCTTCAAACACATTAGAAGGTGCTGTTAAGAGAAAGATTAATCTGGTCTCTATTTCCCATGGTAAAGGTGGATGTTTATGTGCATTAGATGACTTCTTAAAAACCATTCCATCTCTGCTTTCTATATTACTGCTTGGTGAGCATTGACACCCTCACCTAAAAGCTGATCTCTCTAAATATCCTTGGCTTAAGGGCCTACAGCCCATTGAGAGACTTTGCAACTTCTTAAAACCTCACCTGACACGTCCTGGGTGCTCAGACACACACTCTGTGGATGCTTCCAGCGTAAGTCTCCTAGTGAACTTCCAAAAGCAGATATACCAACCCCAAATCTGCAGACAGATCAAGTGCTACCTAACCAGCAAGACCAGTCTCTCTAATTTGCATCTCTTCACTCCTCACTCAGGGATTTTCTCTCTGTCCCTCTCTTTTCCACTTACTCCTTTCCTGGTATGTTAGGTAAGAAAACTAATGATCCTGCGGCGATTGGAGCTGGCTGTGTTATTGGAGTCTCCATGGGTACAAATTCCACACACTTCCTTGGCTTAGGCAGGGACATACTTTTCAGAAAACGTTAGAGAAAAATACATCCTCAAGGCTTTTTATTGCATGTCAGTAAGGTGATCCTTGACATCCTGGAGTGGCTGATGGGGAGTTTTGAAAGCATCTGAAAAGCATGTGGTGATGGGGAGAAGGGGGGTGTCCTGGGTTCAGCTGTAACGGTCATGTTTTACCTCCTTAGTAGCTGGTGCAGTGCTGTGTTTTCGACTTTAGCCTGAGAACAACGTTGATAACACACTGATGTTTTTAGTTATTGTTCAGTAGCACTTACCCTGATCAAGGACTTTTCGGTCCCATGCTCTGCCAGTGAGGAGGGGCACAAGAAGCTGGGAGGAAGCAGAGCCAGGGGAAACAACAAAACCACCACAAACAGAAGTATTCCATAAAGCTTGATAAAAAACACTGCTTTCCTTGGCAGCACCTGCCTTCAAAAACCATGGGGAAGAGCTGAGGCCAACCCAGAGCGCAGATTGGTTTCATTACGCAGTAACGGCTGAATTAAATGAAACTGGAGTGGATGTGGGAGCAAAGCACCTCTCTCCCCAGTAGTTAAAGCAAGTGTCTTGGCCACTGCACACCTATCAGTCACTTCAACTTCAGGGAAATGCCCTGGACGTAGGACTGGTTTTAATCTGCATGGCTCAGGCCAGCTCCGAAGCAGCAAGGTTGATTGATGTGTGTTGGTGAGAGTGGAAGAAGGACAAATCCCCCCTGCTTTCTAAAGCTCTCCTCCATTCATAATTAATTCTTTAGGAGCAAAACTTAACCACGAAGCCATGGCCAGGCTCATCATCACCATAATACTATTAAGACCTGTTGATTGCAAAAAGAATTTGACCGACAGAAACATCTTAATTTTCAAGTATGTTTAAAGTTGCAAATGAAAGGTGAAAAAGAGAAAAATCACATTAATAGCATCAGTGTTTCCTTCACGGGCTCTTTCTTAGGGGCAGATGTAAAACTCAGCCTGTGTTACTGCCAGAAAACAAGAGGATTTGGCTGTTCTTTGCAAAAAGACCAGGACAAGTTCCTCATCACACTTGTGCTCCAGACACTGCACCAGCTTCGCTGCCCTTCTCTGGCCCCACTCCAGCACCTCAATGTCTCTCTTGCAGTGAGGGCCCCAGAACCAAACACAGGATTCAAGGTGCAGCCTCACCAGTGCCCACTGCAGGGGCACAATCCCTGCCCTGGCCCTGCTGCCGCACTGGTGCTGATCCAGGCCAGGATGCTGGTGGCTTCCTGGGCACAAGCTGCTCATGTTCAGCTCCATCAACCAGCACCCCCAGCTCCTTTCCCATGAACAGTTTCCAGCCGCTCTCCCCCAAGCCTGGAGCCTTGTGTGGGGTTGCTGTGGCCCAAGTGCAGGACGCAGCCCTTTGCCTTCCTGAACCTCATCCCATTGGCCACACAAGCCCTAACCCAGGATCCTGCTCCCTGCTTCTCCATCAGCTCCATCCGCCCCCCCCCCCCCCGGTTTTGATGGCTGTGACGTCACAGCCGGTCGCTATGGAAACGGTTTGATGTCACGGGGAGCTTGGAGCTCCGATCACCCCCCCCGCGTTCCGGCCGTTTCTCGGGATCCAACGGGAGCGTCCGAACACCGAACGCGGGGGAGAAACGAACTTTTCCCGTCGGCGCGGGACGCCGCGCGCCCGCCCCGCCCCGCGCCGGAGCGCCAAAGCGCGCGCCAACTCTCCGCCACGCCCCTCCTCCCCATCCCCATTGGCCCAACCCGCTCCTAATCCCTCCCCTCTCGTGACAGACAGCCACAGAGCCAATGGGCTGCGGCGCCTCTCCGGACACGCCCACCCTCCCCAGGCCGCGGATTGGGCGGGGCCGGGCGGTGACGTGCGAGGGAGAGGGTAGCAACAGTTGCCTCGAGACCCGGCGGCAGGCGCCATAGTGACCGTAGCCCTGGAGACTGTTACTTGCCAACGGGAGCAACGCGCGGCCCCGGCGGCCGGAGCCCAGCGCAGCCCGCGGCGCCCGGCGGGGAGGGCAGGTGAGCGGGGGCGATGCGCGCCCCGCCGGGCTCGGATGGGGTGGCGGGGTTGGGGGGGGGGGGGAAGCGGATCCCACCCGCGGCGGTGAGTGTTGGGGGGGGGCCGGGTCGCTTCATGGCCGCCCCCGGGGTCGGTGAGGCGGGGGGGGGACCCTCTCCCCTGCTCCATCTCCCTACTCCGCCCCCCCCCCCCCCCCGGCCCTCGGTGTCCCCGGGAAAGTTGGGAGCGGCGGAGCGCCCCCCCCCCCCCTTCCCTCCCGCGGTGCTGTGAGCGCTGCCCGGGACCGGAGGGCGCGCACGCACCCCGCACACACCCCGCCTCCGGCTTCATCGCGCCTCGTCCCTTCCCGTAACTCCGGGTGTCCGGTTGAGCGGTCGGAGGGAGCCGGGGCAAGCTGCGAGGGGACGCGGCCGGCAGCCGCGCTGCCTGCGCTCGCTTTCCCTCCGCTGCCCCCGCGCACTCCTCCCATCCCCGCTGGGGGCTCATTCCGACTCCAGCACATCCCTGTAGTTCGCCAGAGCTCTCGGATCCCAGCGCTTGCTTCGTCGTTAGTCTTAGAAACGAGCGAAAATTGCACTAAGTCCTATTTTTAAGCCTCTGCCGTCTATTCCTGACTTGGTTTCTCCTGTTTGTTTTGAATAAAGTGCGTTGTGAAACGAGACTCACCTCCTGTTAAAGCAGGATTTTGTGTATGTGCCTATTTCAAGAGTGAGTTCCTGCAGTCTGATTAAATCTTTCCATTCTTTTCGCTTAGATAACTGCTCTAAAGTCTTTATTTTGGGGTTTGCTATTGAAAGAAGCAAAACTTACTAATGAAAGAGCAAGGTGGAGTAAACAGTAGTTTTATTAAATCTCCTTCATGGGGTTTTTTGCACTTGGAATACCCTTAAACCGATCATCCTCAGCTTGAAATCCATTTGCGAGTCAGGGATTTATTCATCTGCTTCTGGCCAAACTTTTCAACTCAATCTCGGTACAAATCATTGGAGAGCAGAGAGTAATTGCTGGCTAAGAAAAAAGATCAGTCTCAAAGCATAAACTTGAAGCTCCCAAAGCCTGGGGATCCTTCTCTGCCTCTGCTGTTTGCAGGCTGAGTTTGCCTCAGTCCCTTTAAGATGCATTCAGTCGTATCTTAGGCTTTATTTTCAAGTTACATGTCCGGTGGAAGGCGTTTTGGGAGGCTCTCTCATGGTTACGACGTGGTTCAGGATGGGTTAGATCAGCGGCTGAGGTTTCTGTTTCACTTCTGGATGTCTGAATTCAGGTGAGGGAAAACCACACTTGCAGGACCATTGGTGCACACCCATGTGCTGGGTTTTGGAGGTGCCTATGTTCTCAAAGCTGTTGCCGTAATGGTGAGGTTTGGAAATGCCTTTTTAAGCAGAATCTGGGTTCTCAGGTAGCTGCAGGATCTCAGCCTTAGGGGTGAAGGTGTGCACAAAAGCAGGTGAGGGGTTGATAAGTGGAATTTCTTTGTCCCTGCTGGCTTTCTGCAGAACAGGAATGATCCCAGTGCGTTCGTGGTTGTGAGAGCATCCTTTGGTACAGAGGAATGTGAGGACCAGGTCCCTCAGACTTCACAGGGGACTCCCCCAGACAGTGCCTGCTTTGCATTTCCCTGCTGTGTCATTTGCATCTCATGAATTCCTCTCATAGCACCGTGTCCCTGTCCTGGGGCCCAGCTGCCAGCTCCGCTTGCTCCGGAAGGCTCTGCGCAAGCGTGAAATCCCAGCGCTGTGCTACGGCAACCAGAGAGGGGGCAAGACACTGGGGGCCATAGCCCAGTGCAGCAAATCCTCCCTTAACATCAGATCTGCCCTTTCAGAGAGCAGTTTGGAGGCTTTGTATGTAAGTTTAGAGGTTTGATGTACAGACGGAGGCCTGTCTTCATCGAGGGACTTGGCATCATGCGTCCTGTTGAGTCCCGCGCAGCAGGGAGGGAGGGACAGGGTCACCTATCTCAAGGCTTGAGGCTGTGCATGATCTAGTGAGAGTCACTGTTAAATCACGTGTGAAGGACCTGAAGGTACCTTAAAAAACCACTTCCTCCAGACTTTTGCACGTGGAAATCTGTTCTGGTAATTTGAGGCCATAATCACTGAAGCTGTGAGCAGCCTCCGATGACATTGACTGGCCTCGTGTGTCCTGGCTCTCTGTTTGGGTAAATTCTCCACTTGGGAGTTCTCATTGCCACTAAAAGTCACCTCTGTACTTGCTACCCTCTCCGTCACAAAGCCTCTTCAGGGCTGCTGTGCGCGGAAAGCCTCAGTCAGTGGTTGATAACTGTGCCTTTTCCTTGCTCGAGCGCAGTGGAATAGATGGCGCCAGTCATTGTCTTTAAATAGTCTCACGCTTGTAACACCTCGGCGCACTGACAGCTGTTCTGTTTAATCACAACGTGTTTTCACTTTAATAGCGGCCGGTAAACAGAGCTGCTCTCACGCGTTCATTCCAGCAGATTTTCCTTGCTCGCTTTTAGCACTCCCGAGCTAAAAGCATCTTGCGGAGTCACAGCGCGGGGAGGGCTCTGCTGATTCAACAGGCGGATCTCACCCGCTCCGCTTCGCAGCCAAAGTTGCTGCTGGAGGCTGCCGAGTTATATTTAAACCGAGTTTTCCCTCTTTCCCTCCCTCGGAACAAATGCCAGAGCCGTTCCCGCCGGGCACCCGCCAGCTGGAGCACAGGGCTTGCCGTGGGTGCCAGGGCTTGCCGTGGGTGCTGTGAGAGGAGCACCCAACGCCCGTGCCTGCAGCTCCCTGATCCCGGGGTATGTTTCTGCTGTTGGAAGCATATGCAAAGCTTCTGTCTGCAGTCTGCACTTTGAGATGTGGGGTTTTTGTCTTATTTGGCCTGGCAGTTCCTTATTGCTTTGTTCAAACACAAATCCACCTTATTGTCTAAGAATGTGCTGGCTTTCTCACGTCAGGCTATCTCTGTCTAAGCAGTGTATGAACTAATTATGCCATAAATACATAGGCAACAAAAGGTTTCTTTGACACAAGCTACAGACCCCTTAATACACTGAACAAAAAGAAATCCTTCCGTATGGGGCCCTACCTCCAGACAGTCACCTTTCTTAAGACAGAAAGCACAGAGGAAATTATTTCAATGCACAAACCGTTTGCACTTAGGGGAGGGAGTTAAAAAACCAAACCCACCTTCGGCTTTGGGTGGTGTTTCTCTGATGTCTCTGTTTCCCCCAGCTAAACCAGAAGGACTAGAAAAGTTTAAATGTCCTTAATTCAGGGGACTTGTTCTGGCAATATGTAGTTATGTGTAGACGTGTGATTTCATGTCAATGAATGCAAAGATCTTCCTCTTCCAGGGATGCTCCTCTCGCTTACAACACTCTGGGGTTAGGCAGTACCGTCAAGCATTCGATTGACAAGGAGTATGTGAAATTACAACAGAAACCAGAGAACCAGAGTCTTCCCAACCAGAACTTTCTAAACAGCTTTGGTGTGTTGATCTGGTGTTATGTAGGAGTTAAGGAGCCTAGCGAAGGGGTTTGAAAAGTCACATAAAGATGTTTGAGAAGTTGCTTTTTTCCTACAGGAGATTTCTGTTAGGAATTTATTTTCCTGAGCTTATTAAAGTCTCACCTTAGAGACACAGACAAATATATTGTAGTGATGAAGCTTTGACAAGAGATTAGCAACTGAACATTGCAGCTGCTTTCAAGGAAACAGAGGTCACCTCGTGCCATGCCAGTGATGACTTTGATAATGGAAATGGAATAAACCCAGCCACAGATTCTTTCTTTTCTTTTCACAAATCAATATTGCACTGAAGGAAATCCTCAGTGCCTGTAAGCAAGAAGCTGACAGAGGTAATAATCGCATTGGGTGCAGCGATGCTCCTCACTGATGGGTCATTTAGTTCCTTGGTGCATATTGCGACCGTCCGGTTCCAGTAATGGCTTTGTTCTGTTTGAGGTGGTTCCTCTCTGGCTTTATGGGGAGAATGTTTGAATGTGCCCGAGGACAAACCACAGCAGGTACCTGCTGTGATGAAGGAATGGCTCCGGTGAAGACCAGCAGCTTGAGACACGTCCCTGTCTTCTGTGGCAGAGAGACTTCATCAGAGTACCTGCTCTCCAGGAGCTGGCCTGTGCCTTGGGGCAGCCCGTGCTGGGCTTTAGGGTCCCTTCCAACCCAAATCAGTCTGGGATTGTGTGATTATGTGGCTGCTGGTTCTTCGAGGTTAATGCAGAGCGAAGAGCCCCACTGAACTGAGCCTGTAGTTAAGAATGCTCCTTCTTTTAGAGATGTCACCAGTTAAGACTGACAAGAAACATCAGGGGAAGAAGAAAGAAAGGAAAGGGCCCGAGTGGAATGATGATAAGCAAACAACCTCAGCATAATAAAGCAATTTCCTTAGCTGCCACCAGTCAGTCATTGTGAGACTATTCTTTAGTATCAGCCTAAGATCCCACTGCCACCATGACAACCCTGGAACTACCCTGGATAATTTCTGGCTTAACACACAGCTGATCAAACATTCACCTTGGCTGGGGAATTAGCTCAGTTATTCTGTTCCTCCTCATCTCTGGTGGGGGGTATTCAGCAGGTTTTAGGTAAAGGAACCTCATGCTGCAAGGTAAAACCCCCAGACTGGCTCTGTGTAACTGAGCAGGGAGACGCTGGGCCACAAGGACTTGTGGTTTTTTGTGCCTAGAACTATAATGATGAGAGAAATCAGGGCACTGAGCATGTAATTTTTATTATGATCATGTATAGGCATCCAGCAGCCCTCCACTGGGATGCAGCAGCGATGGCCTCACTGCAACGCTGGTTGAAGTTATTCACCAGGTAGGAGGCACTTATCCAGGAAGCACTTAGATGAGAGAACTGCTGCTTGCCTTGTGAATAAATGGACTGGCTTAGATTTCAGAGTATTACCTTGTATGCAACCATTAGAGACAGCTGTGGAAGGTGAGGGGTTGTGAGCCACGTAATTCACGTGTCAAATTATACTGGAGCACAAAAGTGCTTTTTGG